AGCCGCCGGACCCGGGCGCCGGAGAGGTTGGGACATCCGCGAAGGATGCGGCCATAACAGGTGACATTCCAATAACGACTATCCCCCCTGTTGAACCTCACTGTGATAGCGGTCAAGAGCCGGCAGCCGCCCCTGACCCTTCCTCTGTTGATCCACCCTCAGAGCAATCGATTGATCGTATTTGTTTGATGTTTGCTGACGTGACTTCACTGAAAAGCTTTGACTCTCTTACAGGCTGTGGAGATATTATTGCGGACCACGAGGAGGATGTGGGCGGCGGGAGTGGCAGCTGTGAGAAGAGCACCCCCGGGGCCGGCAAACTGGGTGCCTCCAAGAAGCACCCCACCATGGTGGCCTACCAGGGAGGAGGGGAGGAGATGGCCAGCCCGGACCAGGTGGACGACACCTACCTGCAGGAGTTCTGGGATATGCTGTCGCAGACAGAGGAGACCCAGCCTGAAGGAGGAGGAGGAGGGATAAAGAAGCCCGAGGGGTCGAAGGAGAACCGAGGTAGCGAGGGGGCTCAGAACAAGGTGGTGGTGAAACGTGGTGGCCTTCACCAGATCCCCATTCATCTCAACCACAAAGAGGAGCAGAAGGGCAGGGAGAAGGAGCAGCATGAAGGCGTCCCAAACAGCGACGAGGGCTACTGGGATTCCACCACCCCTGGTCCCGAGGAAGATGGTTCCACAAGCATCCAGAAGGAGACCATTCCCAGAGACAGCTACAGTGGGGATGCTCTCTATGATCTCTATGCCGAGCCGGATGAGAACCCACCAGCAGGGCCCACGGACGAAGAGGTCACCTGCGTGCCACGCTCCAAGCCCGTGTCTCCGATAACGACCACATGCTCACTGAAGACACCCTCAAGCACAGTGAAGGACTCCAAGATACCCATCAGCATTAAACACCTTTCGTCGCATCCTGCCAGCCATGGAGCAGACGCCAGCAACAGCCATCACGTTGCACACCATCACCTGGCCAAAAGCGAGATGCACAGAACAAAAATCCCTGTCTCCAAAGTACTGGTACGCCGGGTCAGTAACAGGGGCTTAGCAGGGACAACAGTGAAAGCTGCCACGTACCAGGACAGTGCCAAAAAGTAGTTGAATAAGAGGTGGAGACAAAGACGGACAGCAAGGTCAGTGTGTGAAAGTCTGCGTAGGAGACCACAGATAATGAATTAGTTTTGCATCACCTGAAGAAAGGCACCTAAAAGGCTTACTTCACTATATTCCATGGGCCTGCACTTCTGAATCCCTTCTTACTAGACTGTATGGCTGAATATAAAAGGTCGACTTCTTTTTGAGCACTTTTTTTACATTTGTATCTTTTTTCTGCAGCACTAAACACTGGGGAGGTTCATTTTTACATGCCTTTTTGGAAGCAGGACTTGGATTATGAACCTAAATGAGCATCCTTCCTCATGCAAAGCAGTGCCATGAGTTCTTCAAGGGAACAGTTACAAACGAAGCGACACGAGAGGTTCTCCGATACACTTAATCTTTTAATCATTTCTGGGGGAGGAGTGGAGGGTGGGTGCCTGGCTCCGAAAATGGTGTTTGCTCTACAAGATGTTGGAAAAAATGCCAAGCAAAAAACAACCAACCTAACAGGTATTTTACCTGCTATAGGAATGAGAGCACTGCTCATCAGCAGACTTGATGACTTGCGTGCAGTAGCTAACTAAGGAGTTAGGTGGACTTGCCTAACAGGAAAACATATTTTTATTTGTCTGTCTGGTTGGTTTTGATCTGGTTTAATGTAAATGGGTAACAGAGACACCTGACATAGGTTCAGATGTTTACATCAATACTTGTCCAATAACGCATACAATCAGGTTCAGGGAAACATTTTACTAAATGCCAATATATACACACTGTTCACATTTATACAGTAACGTGTTCGCCATGTGTAAATATATACATATTTTAGCAGATTTACTCAACGCTACAGATTTTTTATTAAAAAAAAAATCACCCGTCTGTATTATCTAGAGTTTAAGCAAGAGTTAGTTTTTATAGGTAGATAATTTTACAGTTCTAAAATGATAGAACTTTGTGTAAGTACCTTAAATTAGAGCAAAACTCTGTTTTGTATGGGCTCATGCGTCCCCAGATAAGTAAGTCTGAAGTGCTGATTTTATTCCAGTGGCACATTCCATGGGTCAGAGCTGAGGTTCTGACAGCATTGCCACTGCAAACCTCTATTTTCAGGGGTTTAGACAAAGTTGCTCTGGGCTTAAACCTTACAGAGAAGGAACCCAGGAAAGAAACCTGTTTTTTAATTATTATTTTTTAAAATAATATAAAATTAGTTTTTGACTATTTAAAGAGAGTTTGGGTTCTTGTTGCTTTTTATTTTCATTCTTAATAACGTCAGAATAATTTTACTTTAAGAGAGAAAAAGAAATATGCTAAGCTAGTGGTACATAAAATGGTCTGATGAGCTTGGATCTTATAAGAAAATATTAATGGCTAGGACATTTTTGAATAGTGGCTACTGTACATGGGCATTGACAGCATTTCAAAGAAATTTAATAGGGGTTTAATGTGCCTGAGGACATATTTTTATGATACACTGAAATAGCTCCAAAAATCACTGAATTCTAAAGGTAAATGTTATGTATTTACAAAATATTTTGATACGAGTATTTAATCATCAGACTACAGTTAATATAAAATATATGCTCCAGTGTATCTGAAAAATAATATACATTTTAAAAATATACATGTCTATATTATGCAGAGAATCCTAAATTCACATCATTGAAGCTAATGGGTCTGATCTTACATAGCAGTTGGTTTTATTGTCTCTTAAATTGAAAGAAGAAAAGGAAAATAAATATACAGAATATATGTTTGAAGGATATTAAGGTTAGAGATAAACCATAAAAAGCCAGGAAATACCATAATAAGAGTGTTATACACTTGTATGTGTGGTTCACTGGGGAAATGACCTTATAGTCACAAGGCTAAAATTGGCATCTAGTTCTGCAATTACTGCATGATTTAATACCGAACTGCAACGCCCCAGTGAAGAGGGAGAAAGTGTACATTTTCCTGACCAGTCCCTGTTTTCATGGTTTGAGTAAGAACCTTAATACACTTCAAAGAAACTTATTTTATATGTTTTCTTTCTAACGTATATGTGTGTGGTTTTCTATATGCCTGCTCACACAGATGTGTTGTACATATGCATGTGTAGTCAGAACGCACCTCCTCCTGGGGGACACGCACCCGGGCGAAGGCGCACACCCGTGCACACTCGCACTCGTGTGAATGCAGCCACGCGTGCACGCTCCCACGCACAGGCAGAGGGGACGTGCTGTAGATCTGTCTCTGAGCACGCTGGCGGTCGTTTCCTTTGCCTGAGAAAGGGATTTGCATTTGGCCTGATTCTGCTTGTGCATTTTAGAAAGTTAAAGCTGAAATACCTGCAAAAAGGATGAAAGTACAGAACATGGAACATTACCCTGGTCCTCAGCCCTAAACCTAACATTCCTTTTTCTGTCCTTTTGTTTTTGTTTGACTGTAAGGGACGCATCTTTCCTTGCATGACAACTCTGCAGAAAAATCATAATTCCCTATTTTGTTGTAAGGACAAATTGTGCAGAGAGATTCTGTAGGTGCTGGAAGTTGGGAGGGAGGGAGGATGTGGTGAGCTTGGGGTAGTGCCATAAAAACTGGGAGCACTGAGTACAGGTAGTGGGAGTGATGCATCTTTAAAACCACTAGAAGATAGCGGCTACCATCTCTACAGGACTTGTGTGTGGCAAATTATTCATCATATGCATTTTGTTTGCATTGTGGCATGTCTGTATTGAGAAACCAGTAGAATGACACTAGACTAGCTCCCTCTCACGTAATGACTAACACGAATCATCATTAAAATGCTTTGGCTTCCCTTCATTTTTCTCTCTCTCCTTTGTTTTCTGCCCCATTTTTCCTCCGTCCTCTGCATGCTGGCGGGCAGCTTCTTCCTCAGTGCTAAGCCCCGGTGCGGAGCAGAGCGGGGAGCCCTGGGCTGGCAGCCGAGCGTGGGGTGGGAGGGTGGCCATGCTGCCTGGGGAGGCCAGGTGCTCCCCAGTCGCTCTCTCCAGCTTTCTATCACATACCCAGCGTAAGTACATTTTGCAAATCTCTTGGCGGTTCGTTTGGCTGCTTGCTATGTACATATTTTAAGGACAATCATATCCTTAAAAGGAAAATGGGAAAGTAGCTTGTAGTAGGGCGTCAGTATTTTGAATCATTGCGACATACTGACGTCGATTCAGGGTAATGGTTGTGTGAGAGTGAAAATACAATCTAATGCTCAAATTAATGTATTTATAAAACTGACTTTCGTCTTTAAGCCATCCGTGTTTTTTATTTTGAGAGGTAATAGAAAATTTAATATTTACTAGGGCTTTCCATTTTCATAGAAATATATTTGTATAACTCCACACAATGCCTAACACAATCATTGGAAGGAGGTTCGAAGGCTTTTTTTAGACCTATATTTAATTCCTGAAAGATCCCTGTAAAATACTGTGAGATGCCTAAGAACAAACAGTTAATGGCTTGCTGGATTTAAAGGCTGAGACATAAAGAGGAAATAGTCCTGAGGCATTCTGTGGTGGTTTGCATTCTTGTTTATGTTAACCCTGTTCAAGCATACATTTTCCTTGGCTTTGGTAGGTATCAAGGTAGAAATGGTGTTCTGAGTCCCAAAGATAACATTCCCAATGCTGTCGTTGTTTTGATTTTTCTTAAAGAATACTTTTCTTTATTTGTTTTATTTGTTATTTTGTGGTCTGGATGATGCTTTGTAATTATCAGCTTGTATATCATTCATAAAGGATTTTATAGATCAGGACTTGGCATTTAGTTGTATGTACTCTTTGCACTTTCAGGTCGCTACTGGTAAATTTTGTATGTTCTTAGGATATTTCTATATATTGTGTAGTGTTTTATATCTATCTACAGTGATTTCAGTGATATACATTCCTGTCCTATATATCAGCACAAAAGATTTCCTTTTGGTAGCATGAAATGATGTTTTTGTGGACTTCTTTTGTCATGATAGGAGTTAAGTTTCCTGTACTATATGTGTGGCCTCAACAGACATAAAGGGTCTTACTTTCCCTGTAGCGCGGGTGCATTTTGCTCTTGCCAGTAATAGGACTCAAACACATGTAGTAGATTCAGAAGAAATTCCATGACTAGAATAAGAAAAATCTATGTTCAGTCTTATTCCATCAGTCACCAGCATTTTCTTCATCCACTGTGAATATCCTCACCGCCGTTCAGGGTAGTAGAGGACAGAATTATAAAAATTACATGCGTAGATGTACACTATGAAGATTAATTCACTGATTATTTTTTAATGAATCTTACTGAATTATTTATCTAAGCTAAGTGAATATTGCACCAAAGTCTTCAAAATGTCTGATACAGATGGCATTTTCAGTAAGATGCTATAAGTGCAGATGAGCCAAATTAACAGGCTTTGCTTAGCAAAGCAAAACCTTGTTGTTTCTTAAATTTGTAGTACTGACTGAGCTTGCAGATCAAAGGGAGCCATTGATTCTGCTACATGGCCATGCTCGGAGGTTTTTTTTTTCCCTGCTCTAATGGACTACTTTCAGAAAAGGCTTTTCAGCGAGATAATGGTATGAAAAGGACAGTTCACAGTAACAATAGCCACTTACAAGGCAGATGGTTATCTAACAGCCACAATGGGGGACTCTAAGCAAGGTGGCCTGAAAATGTATTTTCATAGTTACTGATATGAAAGGCTGAGGCTTCTGTCTGGAAAAGCAAATTGACGCCGACTCAGAGATGCTGCAGAAACGAGTCTTGGCAGAGTTTACACGTGACAGCTTCTGCAGGGTTTGTTGGTTTTTTATTTTGGCCTTTCCTTTTTTTTTTTTTTCTTTTGCTTTGTTTATGTTTTCATTACAATGACATAACCCCACGTGTCTGAGCAGAATTGCACAACTGACTCTTCAGAGGTTCAGTGTAGAATACACTGTCAGTTCTCTTCAGTGGCCTCGGACTGGTTCCCGCTGAACGTCCCTCTCTTCCATTGAGGGATGGGAGGGATGGGATGAGGGGGTTCCCGC